TGCCTCTTATTGTGAGACAGTGTGTAGAAGAGATTGAGCGCAGAGGGATGGAGGAAGTGGGCATCTATCGTGTCTCTGGTGTGGCCACAGACATCCAGGCCCTAAAAGCTGCCTTTGATGCCAGTAAGTGCTTCAGTAATTCTTGTAGGGATGAACCAACAATTAAATTAAATAAAAATAAATTAAATTTTAAAATATTAAAATAGAATTAAATTAAACATTATAATAGAATTAAATGTATTTTAATATATTATATATTTAATATTATATGTGTTGTTATGGCTAAAAATTAGTACTTTTTTGTGAATTAACAGACAATAAAGACGTTTCCGTTATGATGAGTGAGATGGACGTGAATGCCATCGCTGGAACGCTGAAGCTTTACTTCAGAGAGCTTCCTGAGCCCCTCTTCACTGACGAACTCTACGCAAATTTCACTGAAGGCGTTGGTCTGTGTTTTTTTAAGTTCTAATGCATAATAATTTATTCAGAACACGTCATGTTAATAATTGATTTTTGTTTATTTATTTTCTTCAGCATTATCAGACAGTGTGGCAAAGGAAAGCTGTATGCTCAATTTGTTGCTCTCGCTACCTGAACCCAACCTTCTGACCTTTCTGTTTCTACTGGACCATCTGAAGAGGTGCAGTCTGATCCCATCAAACAATTTCAGTAACATGATTCCTAAGTGAAAATAGATTTGAACTTGTGTTTGCGATAACATGATACCAATCTAGAACCAAAAGAAACCACTTAAAACACTAGCTACAGCATAGCAGTGAACTACTTTTTTTTTCTTCACAAAACTATATGCAAATTAGGGCTATTAATAGAATAGAATAATCACAATTAACCCCATAATTTACAGCCAGTCTTTAATAAGCAAAAGGAGATTGAGATTGCGACTTTTTTTATGGGCAGGCAAGCACCATTCACATTTGTTTAAGACCTATATGTTTCTTTCTTATTTTCATCAGGGTTGCTGAGAATGAGAGCGTCAACAAGATGTCCTTCCACAATCTCGCCACAGTATTCGGCCCGACCCTCCTTCGCCCCTCTGAAAAGGACAGTAAAATTCCAGCCAATCCCACGCAGCCCATCTCTATGAGTGACAGCTGGTCTCTTGAGGTTATGTCTCAGGTAACACACATACACTATGAGCTCTGATTTGAACTGCCCTGAAGTCTGAAAGCATCAAAATGGGTCATATACAAAACAATAGCTGTGTTGATGTATTTGTTCCTCTCCGTCTCTGTAGGTCCAGGTATTACTGTACTTCCTGCAGCTGGAGGCGATCCCTACTCCGGATAGTAAACGGCAGAGTATGCTTTTCTCCACGGAGGTTTGAAAAGGAGCTCAGATGCATTATGGTGTGAAATGCACTGGGACTGATTCAGCATGCGACCAATGGAGGGCACCAACATCCTACTGAAATCTTACAAGCGGAGTGAATTCCCTGCATCAGTAGCATTCTGTTGATATTTCTGTAGTGAAGAATGACAAGCCAGTCTGATATCTTCTCATGGACTCACTGTTACAAGCACTTAAGAGTTACATTCAACATGCAGGTGATGTTGCTTATTTTCGCTCTCATCCATTGTAGGATTTCTGACTGAATGGTGGCTCACACTTTGAGTGCCAAGCTTCTCGTAGATCATTGGATGGTGAATGTTATTCTTGCGTTTTCTCTTGTTCCTTTCAGCACTGTGGGTTTCTAAAGAATTACACATTCCAGTTTTCCATAAACGCTTTATTTGATCTGACATTTTGCTCACCTATGATTTATGTCTTCCCATGGCGAGGGCTACGGAACATCTGAATACGTAAATCATAAGGAGGAACACATGTATATGGCCCCTTTCTGATGGATAAAACACAACACAGAGAACTAAAATGTGAGGTTCTTTAACCAACGTGTGACTATGGTCAACATGTTAGCATATTAGTTCATAACTAAAAAGAATATACGACACAATTATAGTTTACCGTTCCCATGATTCCCAAGTATGTACATTCCTTTTGTTTTATGAAAACATTTCTCTGTTTTATCTCACATAAATCCAACTAATATTAGATTACTGAGCCTATATTAAAACAATACAGCGCACATTGGTCATATCACATGATATTATAGGACATACACATATATACACATTATTTTTCAGTACTGTTTAAACTGGAAACCTCACATAACTTAGGAAATAAAACATAAAATAGTTTTAAATCTTTATATCATTTAAAGTATTATAGGAAATGATTAACCGTAACTGATGGACTCAATATATTCAAATGGATATAGGAGTTCTCCATCAGAATAATATCACTGCTACATTAGTTTTCTGTATTCAAGAAATAGCAAAAATTAACTTAATTCAAACACTGTACATTTTTCTTGTTTAATCATTTGGGTTCATTATATTTTCACTTTGTAAAACTTTGCTGTTCACAAAACTTCAACGATCCTGAACAGTGTCAATATCTTGCCCTGTTAAGTGTGTGTGTAAATTGTTCAGTTTATTATGGCTAATATGCATATATCTGTATTATGTTGTTCAGAACAAAGAAGAGGTTGTGTATTATTTGGATGTCATGTAACATGCAGGCATGTTGTTTTGTTAATTACTTATTTTTCTTTTAGAGATTTCCTTTAGTTATTGTGCCCCGCTTGTGTATTTCCTTTAGACTAAGGAAAACTGAGACATTCCTGTAATTGTGTTGAAGATCATTGCCTTTCTCTGTTCTTATTCCATTGTATGTTCTGGAATCTGCACTTCCTTTATCAAGCTCCTGCTTGAATTACAGCTATATCCATTCCTCCTTTTTCTCTCTTTTATTTGGTCCGTTGCACGCTGTACTGATGAAGATATTCCTGGCTGCTATTTTACAACCCAGCTTCCATGATGAGGAAATGTTCTGTATATGGATAAGTATGGCACAGTGTGGATTAAGGAGATGGATCACAATAAACTCCTTCATCCTCTTGTTTCCACAGAGCCGTTGACTGTTTTGTGTGTTTATCTGACCGATGGCCAAGTACATTAAACAGTCCTCAATAGAGATAGCATTACTCCCCAGAAGACGTTAGGACACAGTGGTTTGCGTTCAGCATTCTTTCCTCTCCTGGAGCACTAATGCTGAAACAATAGACTTCGTTTATTATTATTACTGGACAATATTGAAACTGCACAATGCTATTGTATGGCAGACCTGTAACATTAAATGTGGCCATGTGATTCTGTACAAAGTAAATGAATAATAAAATTAAAGTTGGTTAAAATGATAATTACAGATCCCATGTTTTTGTTGATATGTTTAATAAAAAATTCTCTAACATTAACCTATGTTAATGAAAAATAAGCAGTTCCAAACAGGTCAAATTGTTATAAGAAAACGTTTTATGCATTATTTTATGGTGAATGTGTAGTTCATCTGAATGGTAGCTTAATTCAGGCTAAATTTGCAAACAATTTTGAGAAAAACAAATTTTATTTGTCAGTTTTGGAAATTATTAAATCTTTTCATTTTTAATGCTTTAAAATGGCCAAATAACACAAATCAGGATTTTAAGTTTTATTTAGACATTAGTCCCACATTGGTAACAAGAATTCAAAATTGCAGGCTTCATGGAAAATAAATGGAAAATTAACATCTAATTTAATATTCTTGTTTTTCCTGCTGATTAAAAAAAATTAAGATAATGTTATAGTTTTGATAATTTTGAAAAGAAAAAAAAAGTTATCCTATGCTCACCAAGGTTCATTCTAAAACATTATCAGAATAATCTAAAACAGCATTATTCTAAAATGCTGATTTGTTGCTCAAGAAACATTTCTTATTATTATCAATGTTGAAAATAGTTGTGCTGCTTAATATTTTTATGGAAACACAAAA